TGAGAACTGTAATTTTAAAACAATGATAAATGCACGTGTATATTCACCTAACTTAAGTGAGTGGAAGAAGTTTTCACGTGGAAATCTTAGAACAAAGTAGTTTATCTAAAACCAATTTTGGTATAGGAAAATATCAAATCTTATAATTAACAATTTTTAGCAGGAAAGAACAATTCCAAAATTCCGCATCTCCGATCAACTATTGAAATTGATAGAGGAGGGAAAGTACCTAGACTTACCAAGTCAGAATCGTGTTTGTTTTAAATGCTCAATGAATGGAGTAAGGACGAAATTCATTTTATGCTCACCCGGCCCAACGGTCAACAGAGCCGAAATTGTCAGTTGACTCCTTATAGTGGTTAGTGTCCTTAAAAGACAATTTTTTTATGGCCGGTTGGGTTTTTTTTTTGCGTTTTGGGCAATAAAGTGAAACTTAACAGAAACAAATATCAGCAATACAAGATCAACGATAAAGAAATTTTAGTCATGAATTATATTCAAGTTCACAATGTTTGGAAGTGTCCATTGTTGAAGAATGAGAGATACAGGTTCGTAAGAGCCGCTAGTTTATTCCCCTGTAGGACAGGAATGACCTATTACATTTGATATGCAGATTGCCGCTATGTATAACAATACTATAGATAACTGCATGGGTCAATATATATATATATACTAGTATATGCACTATATAAGCAGGACCTTTTTTACATGGTACCTAGGTATCTTCAGCTGTCCGTCTTTCCATAACATTTTAGACACGGTTGTTTTGGTTATCCGCACCTTGATTATAGCCGCGAGTCGCGCCGCGGGGATATAGGAATGGAATCCGTCAGGCTATCGTTCCGTCCGTACAAAACACATCAATTCTCAGAGACCGATAAGAGCTTTCATACTTGTGGGACTATTTGTCATTATATTCCCTTGATTTTGCTGTATCGACAATCTTTACGGGATTATGAAACTTTCACACTTTTTTTAGTAGTTTAGCTATGACATCTTTAAAGAAAAAAAACTCAACAAAGATACCAGGATTACAACTTTGTACGACGGACGCTTGTTTCGTCTACAATAGACACACCCGTGTGGATGGAATAAAAAAGATAAATGCGCAATTCAAGTACGAAGACGAAGAGTATTAAGGACGGTGACTTTAAAACATACTCCGAGGACCTAAACACAATTCGTCTGAGTCCGATTTAAAGACAGCTCTTATAAAAAAGAAGATGTGGTATGATTGCCAATGAGACAACTCCCCACAAGAGACCAAATGACACAGAAATTAACAACTATAGGTCACCGTACGGCCTTCAACAACTAGCAAAGCCCATACCGCACAGTCAGCTATAAAAGGTATAGTATACTTGTTGTCTCTTTGACACATTCCCCATTTCCATTCTCAATTTTATTGGTTATATAAAAATAAGGAGATGTGGCATGATTTACAATGAGACAACTATCCATCAAAGTTCAAATGAAGTGGATGTAAGCAATTATAGGCATTCAACAATAAGAAAAACCCATACCGTATAGTCGGCTATAAAAGGCCCCGACATGAAACATATGAAACAATTCAATTCAGAAAACTAACGGCCTAATTTATAACAAAACAATTTACGAAAACAAATATGACGGACATGAACCACTGACAACCACTGAATTACAGGCTCCCGCCAGAAATGGGACGGGCACACACAGAATGTGGCGGGGTTAAACATGCACAACATAGGAACAAACTGTAAGAATTATAGTTGATTGTTTGCTTTCATGTGTTTCATGTGTTGTTGACCATGATATATCGCAATTTTGATCCGACAATTACTACGGGAATTATGAGACTTTAATGTTTTTTTTTTAGTATTGTGACAAAAAAAAACACCTTGTGAGCGCAAATCATCTGAGAACTTTTTATAGAAAGCTCTCATTTTTGGTAGGATTGTATACCAGTTGGCCATATTATACCATCATTTGGATCTGACCATTTTAAAGGGAGTTGTGGGTCTTTTGTCAACGGTTAGCATTGTGACAATAACACCTCGTGAACGCAACTCTTTCGAAACCTTTTTATAGAAAGCTCTCATATCTGGTAGGATGGTATGCCAGTTGACCATATTATACCATCAATTTTTTAAATGATTCAAAATTAAGGAATACAGCTCCCTCATGCAAAGCTATGATTCCTTGCCGGGCTTTTGTCTTTTTTTTCACCGGTTTTTTATAAGCTCTTCAATTTTTGAATAAGTTTTGGGTTTTCAAATATTTGACCTCGAGTATCATTGAAGAGACATTTATTGTCGAAATGCGCATCTGGCACAATAAAATTGGTACCGTTAATGTTATTTGATCTTGTCACTTTTAAGGAGTTATGGGACGTTGACTATTTTGTTTTTGGAGTATTGGACACGTATGTTTAGTATTCGACAATCGATTGAATTGACTTTGTATAGAAATTACTATTTATTGTTTAGTCTATTATGATACATATATATGCTAGAGCTAATGTGGTGCTGTTTTATTACTATTTTTTTGCATGCTGCATACCTTGTTTTACTTGCTATTGTATATGTTTTTTTATTCGGTGAAAAGCTCGTTAGAGCTTATGTTTAATTTTTACTTACTTACTTACTTACTTACTTACTTACTTACTTACTTACTTACTTACTTACTTACTTACTTACTTACTTACTTACTTACTTACTTACTTACTTACTTACTTACTTACTTACTTACTTAGTCAACTCAATTCACTTGTTTGACATATCGATAGTATCAATCGTATTCAATCGTTGCGATCGTTTAAGAGTTGATCAATTCTATCAACTGTCTCATCTGGTTTTCAAGGGTCACGATCATATCAATCTTAAATCACAAAAAATACATTGGTTTTCTACCTATTAGTACCAACATAACGAGGACAAACGAATCTTGAAGTACATTTTCCAAAGAGGTACGGGAATAAATGTTTTTATTACATTGGTAGCATTGAATTACATTGATTTCCCAGTCAAATAAAAACCGATAATTTCACATGTGAAATAAACGTGGTTATTTCACTCTCTGACGTCATACAACAATAGGCGTTGTCAAGACGTCGAAAACGTCGGATCAAAACAAATTGTGAATGCGTAGAAAAAAGATATAGTTCCTTACATTTTCTACATTAATTTCATTAAAAAAAAGCCATTTGCCAATGTAATAAAAAGAATAACTAATCAAAGAATTCAAATATCGAAAAATATTCAACTCGTGACCGAACAACACTGATAATTAACTCATGCGCTACGCGCATTCGTGAATTAATGTGTTGTTCGTCACTCGTTGAATATTTTTCTCTATTTGAATTCTTCGATTAGTTATTCTATAAGTAACGTAAACTGTAAAACTATATTTGTTACCAAACATTTTTATTGAATTGACTGAGTTAATATTTGTTAATCAATCTTGTTCAGTTGTATCTATCGTACCGATCGAAGGCTTGCAATTTTGATTGAGTTGATTGAGCTGATATTTTTTAATAATCGTTTTCAAATAGATTCTACAACTGCATCGCGTGTGATACCCGTAACCAGATATTTCTCCATTCGAGACAGGTAAATTTTAATATCTTAAACGAGAGTAATCTCAGTTTACAATTTTCTCAATTAAAGCTAATAGAGACATATTATATAGGTTTGAACGTTGTTTTCAATTTAGACTTGTTTATATTTTTTTCGTTTGGGCTTGTATTATATTTTCCTTCGGGTTTATATGATCCGTTCATCCTATTTCTAATATTTCGACTCTTCAAAATTCAAGGTGTCTATCCTAAATTGAGGTAAATTATATGGCCTTCCAAATACCGTTTCGATCCCTAACATCACTGAAGAGACATTTATTGTCGAAATCCGGATATGGTGTACTAATTTTTGCACCTTTTGTTTGCGGTATACCATCTTTTCCGCAAGTTTATTGTTTTCTGTTTGGTATTAAATTAATAATGTTAAAAGATCCATTTTGTAACATCCTGTGATCCGTTTATTTGACAATCGCCAATGGCAGTCAGCAGGGTTTAAGAACATCTGTTGTTCGACCTGTTAGTCAAATCCGTTTTGTTAAAATATACTTTTTCACTTTTTTGGTCTTTTGGAAAATGTTGTTTGTGCTGTATTTAGACCCCTCTATCAAGAAATTTGTTTTGCATGCACACGTATAAAAATTGCGGTTTTTATCAAACGCAATCATAGGTTTGAATGTTGTTTTCAATTTAGACTTGTATATATATATATGGTTTAAGAACATCTGTTGTTCGACCTGTTAGTCAAATGCGTTTTGTTAAAATATACTTTTTCACTTTTTGGTCTTTTGGGAAATGTTGTTTGTGCTGTATTTAGACCCCTCTATCAAGAAATTTGTTTTGCATGCACACGTATAAAAATTGCGGTTTTTATCAAACGCAATCATAGGTTTGAACGTTGTTTTCAATTTAGACTTGTTTATATTTTTTCGTTTGGGCTTGTACTATATTTTCCTTCGGGTTTATATGATCCGTTCATCCTATTTCTAATATTTCGACTCTTCAAAATTCAAGAGTCTATCCTAAATTGAGGTAAATTATATGGCCTTCTAAATACCGTTTCGATCCCTAACATCACTGAAGAGACATTTATTGTCGAAATCCGGATATGGTGTACTAATTTTTGAACCTTTTGTTTGCGGTATACCATCTTTTCCGCAAGTTTATTGTTTTCTGTTTGGTATTATATATATATGTCTCTGGAGTGAGTATTTGAACTATGAACTTTTGACCCTTGCGATGACTCTGTCAAACTTAAATTCCAAACAGGTAGTTGACGCTACCAGTTTCAGGGGATAGATTTTTAAAACCCTATTTTCAAAAGTGTTGTTAATTGAGTATGAGTTGTCTGGAAAACAGGAAGCGGGATTCGTTAAAAAAAGGGTCGAGATTTGGAGGTGGCGAGTTAATTTTTGTTCATCCTGTCAAGTACAATTATGACACACGTTTCCTTCCCCGCTATCAATGATTCCCAATATTATGATTCACGATACAAAAACCATGCATTTTAAACATTTAAGAACTGTAGGTAACAACAGTAGGTTACTGTTTTCAATGTGGAAACCTGAAAATAGCTGCCGAAAGATATTATTTTAGCAGTTGCTATCACTTTTCGTTCGTTCATTCTACATTTTCACACTTGTATTTTTAACATCTCACAGACACTTGCCTCTGTAAAAAAACATACCATTAGGGCTGTGCCTATATATAACACTAGTACTTTTCTGGCTTTTCTGTAGTACTCATAATTATGACGTATTGAAAGGCTATTTAAATTTTTTTTCTGTGATGCATTCTTACACCAAAATCATGAAAATAGCCTTTCAAGACGTCATAATTATTTGGACTAGCTTTTCCGTATAATGGCACTCTGTCTTTAATTTGGGGTATTTCTATTCCACGCTCGTCTTTTCAAATAAAACTTATGCCATAAACCTACATTAAATTACCTACACAATGGTGTATAAACTCATCATACATGTAGATGCAGGCAAAAAATATTTTCTTGGACTCTTAATCCAATTTATCAACATGTGGTTCGTTTGATTTTAGTTCTTTATTGATCAAAATTCAAATATGATGTCAAATTATCTTGCTTTCCATTGAATTTCCTATTGTGAAAAAAGGCGACCATGCCTGGTGACGTCACATAGAAAGAACACACCTTTTTTACAGATCATTCGAAAAGAAGGACTAAGTTTGTCTGTATATATATCGTCTAAAAATCATTAGAGAAACCGATTCTAACACCAAATCATGTGCAGTACGATATTTCTACACTCTTGACAATTAAATTTTGAATGGCATTTTACATACACTGTATTTGAAAATTTAACTGTCTCAAGTGGATAAATATCATATCATACGTGATGTAGTGATAGAATCTATATGTATGCTAGACATGCATTTAGTCTACAAAAATCTCATCAGTGATGCTCAAATAAAAAAAAATGTCTACACAATAGTATATAAACTCATCATAGATTCCAGGATTAAAATTTGGTATGCCAGGCACATTTTGTCTACAAAAATTTCATCAATGATGATCAAAAGAGTTAAAAAGGCCAAATAACGCATTGAGGACCTGTATAAAACACATACGGTACATTCGAGGATTCCATTTGGTCAATCTTCATGCTAAAAATTTATGAAAATATATAACATTTAAGGAAAATTCAAGATAAGTAAGTTATTGAACCCTACCTTTAAAACTATATGAATTTTATCATTTATCTAAGCTGTGATATGGAAATTATCCCTATTAGAATAATGTTTCCTTATCTGAAGGTAAATGTACTGACATAAATTTCATGTCCAACAAACGCACAAATGAAGTAATCTAACATTGTGTCAAACCAAATACTCTGACTGAAAGATAAAGATTAGAATTAACTGTATTAGAAATTGTGTCTATGGTATTGTTAAAATAAAATTATGTAGCATATACATATTTCTTACAACTCCTGCTGATTTAACTACGATGCAAAAAAAGAATATGAAATCAGGGCTCGACATTACCGTTTGTCCGACAAGTCGTCATAGGCATCGGACAAGTAGAATCACCATATAAGTTGTCCATGATATATAACATCTATAACTTTCAAGGCTTACAAATGCCTTAAACGTGAACTATTTTTTTATTGATCATACGAAATCTTAATTCATTGATTGAACCAGGGAAGTGTAAGTAAGGGGAGGGAAATCAATGATAAAACATGCTGACTGGCAGAAGCTTTCATATCTAGTGATAAATCCAGAGGGATCTGGGTCGTCGAAATTGCGATCTTTGATATGTTTTATTCAGATGGGATTCACAAGGTGTTTTTACACATGTATATTGATTGTTTACCTGCGATATGGAATCAAAATAAAAATTGATTTAAGAAAATTTTGATTCACTGTTGCAGCAGCACCCCTATGACTATAGAATGGATATGTTCTATTCATCCTCATCCCCCCACCCTGGGAAATTTGATATAACCAGTTTATTTACGGTGAATAAAGGACAGATTTCAGTCATTTTCGTAATTTTGAATGACGATGTTTTATAGTTTTGAGGGAAGTTTGAGAATCAGTTTAATTGAGACACTATTTAAAAGATTTTGGGGAAATTTGAAGATAAAACAGTATTTTATAGTTTTAGGGAAATTTGAGATCAGTATATCTAAGATAGCATTTCATAGTCATGATAGTTTGGGGGGAAATTCAAGGATCAGTATTTATGAGACAATAGTGAAAAAAGCCCTATTAAAAACAATAATTTCTTGAATATTTTAGTGTCTAAAAGGGTCTTTTATTCAAAACAAACAATAGTACAAATTACAGGTCCAGAAAAAAAATTTCCCCCGAATTTTGAAATCTGGGAGGGGGGAGAAATTGAGGATATAGCCAAAAACCTGATGATATCGGTAGTGATGATAATTGATTCCATCATAAACTCCAAACATGATAGTGACATTGAGTCAGAACTTACTTTGGAATGGAAAATAACCTTTAATAATAATAGAACACTTTTTGATGTAATATTCTTTATTTAGTTACAGACAAATTTATATAACACAACAAATTATTGTCTTCATCAGATATGCTAAAAGCCAAATGTGTGACTGTGCATATTATTATCAATGTTTAAGATTTTTAATCTTGGATAATCCAATTTGGGCAAGTGAGTTAAGAGTTAAAGTTGATTTTCTTGCAACTTGTCAGAATGGACAAGTTAGAAAAAATAATAATGTAGAGGCCTCGAAGTTGTCAAATTTTCATCATCTTTTACTAGTTTCTTTCTTTTTTAAATTCATTCTACTGAAGGAATGTCAAGTTTTCAAAGTGTAAAATATATGTTTTCCCTAGTCTACCATATTAGGAGAGGGTGGTATAGGGTTATTTTCCTGCAACGTGTTTTGCCATTTTTATTTCATGTGCAGCCGTGAAAAAGGTTCGTTATTCATCGTGTTTCGTGAAATTGGTAAAAAGATCAACCTGCAAGAAATTTTTAATTGTTTGTTCATCGTGAAATGGCAATTTTATTTCGCGTTCTTCCATGCAGATATCCCCCCTTTACGCCCCTCTTAGGAATGCCAGAAAATAATGTTCAAAGAAATATAAACAAGCATACTATGAAAAGCTATCCCATGTGCAATGTTTTTGTTGTACAATATTTAGCTGTCAGAACATGATATATGCAGTTTAATTTGTGTTAGTAAGATTCAACCACAATATGTTAAATTTGTGTTAGTAAGATTCAATCACAATATCTTTAATTTGTATTAGTAAGATTCAACCAAAATATCTTTAATTTGTATAAGTAAGATTCGACCATATATCAACCAAAATATCTACAGGAATCCAATATGTCATGAATGTTATGAATGTCACATTGCTGGTGTTTGTTGAAGGTCCAAACAATAAATTCAATCATTAGGTTTAAATACACAATGTATACTGAACAAAATTACCAATTATTACCGGTAGATATAAGAAGATTTTGTATGAGTGCCAATGAGACAACTCTCCATCCAAGTCAAAATTTATAAAAGTAAACCAATATAGGTCAAAGTACGGTCTTCAACATGGAGCCTTGGCTCACACCGAACAGCAAGCTATAAAGGGCCCCAAAAATTACTACCGGGTAGTGTAAAACCAATCAAACGGGAAAACCAACGGTTTAATCTATATAAAAAACGAGAAACGAGAAACACTTATGAACCACATCAACAAACGACAACTACTGAACATCAGATTCCTGCACAGATCATAAATGTAACATTGTTATCTTTATTTTTTTCAGTTAGATAAAATGTTGATGCCTGTAGCATTTAGATTATATCCAGTAGAGAGATTGATTCAAGGACTTAGAGTATTATTTAACGCATTCTATAATAAATATTTAAAAGTGAATAGTAAAGGATGTCCACCAGAAGTACTGTACCTGAGTAATAATTACCTCATTATAAACAAACCATTTGACGTTAAAATTAATAGTGATAACTCCGAGGAATACACTGTAGCCACTAATTTAACAGACCATTTCCCACAACTAAGTGATGAGAAGTTAAGTCATCATTTCAGGTAAATGATATTCTAGTATTGCTATTTCCAAGAAATTAATCGTGAATTTATTTATTTTCAATTTTTAGTCCCCAACTGACGAAGTCGAAGGGGACTTTAGGTTTGCACTCCGTCCGTCTGTCTGTCTGTCTGTCCATCCGTTAGTCAGGTAAATCAGTTTTCCACACTTTTTTTCTTCATGCTTGAAGATATTGATTTGATATCTGGTGTATTGTTTTATCAAGACAAGTTACAGATCAAGTTCGTAAAATTTTGTTCTGATGTGATTATTTTGTGCAGAGTTATGGTCCTTTGACTTAGAAAATTCACTAAAATAATCAGTTTTCCACACTTTTTTTTTGTCATTCTTGAAGATATTGATTTGATAATTGGTATATAGTTTTATCATGACAAGTTACAGTTCAAGTTTGAATTTTGTTCCAGTCTGATGATTTTGTGCAGAGTTATGGTCCTTGGACTTAGAAAATTCACTTATATAATCAGTTTTCAACACTTTTTTCGTCATGCTTGAAGATATTGATTTGAAAATCAGTATATAGTTTCATCATGACAAGTTACAGATCAAGTTCGAATTTTGTTTTTCCGGTCTGATGATTTTGTATAGAGTTATGGTCCTTGGACTTAGAAAATTCACTTATATAATCAGTTTTCAACACTTTTTTCGTCATCCTTGAAGAAATTGACTTGATATTTGTTACATAGTTTACACCATGACAAGTTATAGATCAAGTTAGAATTTTGTTCCAATACAATGAATTTTTAACCGGTAGGGGACTATGTATTGCCATACAATACTCACAAAATGCTTGTTTACATACTTTTTAAAAGCTGAGCAAAAGGTCAATTTAAAGCTCGTGAGTTGTCTTCTTCAGACTTTGTATATTAGCAGTATTTCTTTTAATAAATACCCCCAAGGTCATCCATGCTCTCCATGACAACAAATGTTTGAAATTAGAAAAATATTCCAGAAATCTATAAACGATTTTATTCATATAATTGTTTTGAGTATTATATGATGTTAATCATGCCAATTTGGGGACATAGCAAAATTTGTCATCATAGATTACCTGTTTTGAGCTCAAAGGCCATGTCAGCAATTGTCATTACTTGATGTTCATCTGATGTTGTCTATCCATTTACATTTCACATTTTGGTTTTCTTCTTAGAATTACTGAACAGAATGAAACTAAACTTTTAATAAATGTATCAACTTTTCAACTTTATCAACAAGTGTTTTAAGTAAGGTACTGATTTGTCTACAAACATGGCCATCTTAGCCTATTGTAGTTTCTCATTTGGTTGAGGTTAGGGTGGCTTGAATTTGAAAACATTCTTTAAGAATCATTGAATCAGTTGTAACCAAATTTGTCAGATATGTTTCTTTTAAGGTTTTTACTAAATTTTCTTATGCATATAAAGTGATAAAGTAGAAATGAGGCAAACAACCAAAAGAATTTTTGAGGTCAACATACAGTTTTTAAGAACAGACAGCAGTCCATACAATACATTACCCTACGCTAAAGTGTTAGACTCATAAACTGTTGCATTAAGGTCCGTTTCCTAGAAAATGAAAGGATATATCCGTTGCAGATTGGTAGTCATTTATAACTACTTCATTACTTTATTTATTAAGTGGTAATAACATTGTGAGTCAAACTTCACCTGCACACAAAAGTAGTAAACCATATGAATCTTAACATATAATCTCACATTACTATTATTAAGTTATTTGATTTAGTGGCAGTTCCAGGTTAAAAAAAAATAGGTGTCCAATAGTGAACACTGAAAAAGAGGGGATGGTAGTAAAAAAAAATCACAAATCTTAATTAAAATAATACTGATAATCATTATTTAATGAAAATAAAACAAATGAATTATTTTTATTTCAGATTTAATCATCGTTTAGATTATCCAACTAGTGGAGTGCTGAGTTTGTCATTGAACAAGAAGGCTGCAGCTAAAATACAGAAATTGTTTCAAAAAAGAAATATAAGAAAACATTATTTAGCTTTGGTAAGGACATTTATAACAGACCACTGGTAAGAACTTTCTTAACAGAGATTCTAAAGGGAAATGGGTTAAGTGAAAAAGCAATCTTTACTGGATGGAATTATGGTATAACTAACCGAAAAATCATTCTTTACTATATATGACCAATATTTCTATATCAATACTTCTTCAATGAAATCTAGAGACACATTCACACAAATTAAGAAATTAAAGAGACAAGAAACAAATTCAAGTTAACCAATTGACTGAATTCTTCTTGATATTAGGAAAAAAATACCTGAGAGATTACTAACAATAGTTTTAAGTTTTAACTGTAGCAAAAACTTTCCATTTGAAAAAAAAATAAAAAATTCATTGTGAGATGGCTGGTTTTAGTTCCAGATACAGGCTGAAGAAGAGCGCAGGTGATAACATCTTCAAATTTCTGCATTTTACTAATGTAAGAAATGTTAAAGAGAGGCCAAAGATACCAAAGGGACATTCAAACTCATATAAGTCCAAAATAAACTGACAATGCCATGGCTAAAATAGAAAAAGACAAAGAGACAAACAACAGTACACAACATAGAAAACTAAAGACTGAGCAACATGAACCCCACCAAAAACTGGGGGTGATCTCAGGTGTTCCAGAAGAGTAAGCAGATCCTGCTCCACTTAAAAGTATTCTTGTTTGTTTTCAAAGATGACAGCATTGTTGAAATCAGCATCACCACAGTTGAATCTTTGGGGATGGTGAATTTTGTGTACACCTTTGATTTAGCAAATAAATCAAGATGTAAAATTCATATTATAATATTTCTCAATTGTTCCATCCATTTAGAAATCTGCAATGCACATCTAATAAGCTACCTGACAGATCTCAACTAAGCTTGGTATTATCTGTCGCCCTCTCATTCTTGTAGTTTTGAAAGAATTGACGTGGGTTCCTGCAGGCATCCATATGTCAATCTGTCCAATTTTGAAGTGCTCTATCAATTTTTTTATTGATTTTGATATTAGAGGTTTATAACAACAAAACTTCAATCAAATTAGAATATCTGTACTGATTGAAATTGAGAGTTATTTGTCCCCCGGGAAATTTGAATTATGTGAAAAATGGCTTTATAAATACTATCATTGAACAATGCAATACATAATGGATTTGGCTAAAATTAATATCAAAGTTTTATAAAACAAATGTTGAGTTCAAAAGCTCGTACAAAAAGTATTAACATGGTCATTACAGCCCTTGAATCCTTACTGTACAGGTATTAACATGGTCATTACAGCCCTTGAATCCTAACTGTACAGGTATTAACATGATCGTTACAGCCCTTGAATCCTTACTGTACAGGTATTAACATGGTTGTTACAACCCTTAAATCCTTACTGTACAGGTATTAACATGGTCATTACAACCCTTTAATCCTTACTGTACAGGTATTAACATGGTCGTTACAGCCCTTGAATCCTTACTGTACAGGTATTAACATGGTCATTACAGCCCTTGAATCCTAACTGTACAGGTATTAACATGGTCGTTACAGAGCTTGAATCCTTACTGTACAGGTATTAACATGGTTGTTACAGCCCTTAAATCCTTACTGTACAGGTATTAACATGGTTGTTACAGCCCTTGAATCCTTACTGTACAGGTATTAACATGGTCATTAAAGCCCTTGAATCCTTACTGTACAGGTATTAACATGGTTATTACAGCCCTTGAATCCTTACTGTACAGGTATTAACATGGTCGTTACAGCCCTTAAATCCTTACTGTACAGGTATTAACATGGTTGTTACAGCCCTTAAATCCTTACTGTACAGGTATTAACATGGTGATGACAGCCCTTGGTCGTTACAGACCTGGTCATAACAGCACTTGAATCCTTACTGTACAGGTATTAACATGATGATTACAGCCCTTGAATCCTTACTGTACAGGTATTAACATGATGATTACAGCCCTTGAATCCTTACTGTACAGGTATTAACATGGTCATTACAACCCTTTAAACCTTACTGTACAGGTATTAACATGGTCGTTACAGCCCTTGAATCCTTACTGTACAGGTATTAACATAGTGATTACAGCCCTTTAATCCTTACTGTACAGGTATTAACATGGTCATTACAGCCCTTGAATCCTTACTGTACAGGTATTAACATGGTCATTTCAACCCTTTAATCCTTACTGTACAGGTATTAACATAGTCGTTACGGCCCTTGAATCCTTACTGTTCAGGTATTAACATGGTCATTACAGCCCTTGAATCCTTACTGTACAGGTATTAACATGGTCATTACAGCCCTTGAATCCTTACTGTACAGGACAGGGTTCATTAATCATGTTCTGAAAATTGTGTGGATGATATAAAATGCATGTTGATATAAAAAAAATGAATATTTCAGGTTGGTGGATATTTATCTGAACCATATATACTAGTAGATATACCAATAGGAAAGGACAGTTTTGTGGACTATAAACATAAACAATGTGCATGTACGAGTGAAGGATGTGTGGACAGTAAACATGCTATGACCTTGACAATTCTTCTAGAATATGGAACATACAATGGAATGCCAGCATCCAAAGTTTTAATGATACCATATACAGGTAAACACTTATGATACCGTATACAGGTAAACACTTATGATACTGTATACAGGTAAACACTTATGATACCGTATACAGGTAAACACTTATGATACCGTATACAGGTAAACACTTATGATACCATATACAGGTAAACACTTATGATACTGTATACAGGTAAACACTTATGATACAGTATACAGGTAAACACTTATGATACAGTATACAGGTAAACACTTATGATACCGTATACAGGTAAACACTTATGATACCGTATACAAGTCAACAATTTCTTCCTTGTTTTGATTTATGTTCAGCATATGCATTATTTTGTTGAACAAAAATTGCACTTTTATTAGAAACCACTGGGTCATATATATATGACAAAAAAAACAGCTTAAATGTTCTGTGCTTTTGAATGACTTAACTGTAAATCACTTTATTTCCTGCTTTTGTTTGTAATTTATTTCTGGCAGCATATGTAACAATCATAAGCAGATTTTTTAGAAACTTAAATTACAAGGTAAACAAATACATCATACAATTAATACTTGTTGCTCCTTAATAATAATACCTATTGATCTGGAGAATTAATGGCAGGATGAAATTGTAAATAAATGTGCTGGAAATCTTATTTCAATTTCTCCTGTATTGAAAATACTTTTAAAACCATTCTTATGTTGACATCATTATATCTGGGTAAAAGGGGGGACAACTTATTGTTCTTTATTTTCATATTACAATACAATACTTGATTATCTTTCTTTATATGAGATTTAAGATGTATTTATTATTTAACTGAAGGCAAAACTAATGTTGTTAGACTTCTTTGTAAAATTAGGTCTTTACTACTAGAACACTACTGTTTTATGTGTCAACCCCCTTGTAAGGTTCTTCACTTGGACACCACTGGTTTTGTGTCAAACCCACACTAAGGTCCTAGACTAGTACACTACTATTTTACAATGTGTTAACCCTAGGGAGATGCTTTTAAGAACCACAACAATGTTTACATTTTAGACTGGTAGTTAAAATCTTTTACTAGACCACCAATTGATTTCAATTCCACAATTGGTCTATACTAACGCTAATAAGTTAAAATAACACACCAATGCTAGTGGAAAATCCACACTTAGGTCTTTTATTATCACAATGCTGTTTATATATCAAATCCACATTTAGGGTTTTTCATTTTTCAATATCACACTACTGTTGTATTTTCAACCCAAAACTAGGTCTTTTACTCCATATCATTGTTTTGTATCAAACCCACAATTAAGTCTTTTGCTAGCACACCAATGTTTTGTAGTAAATCTTCAGTTAGGTCTTTTACTAGCACACCGATGTTTTGTAGTAAATCTTCAGTTAGGTCTTTTACTCCCCATCATTGTTTTGTATCAAACCCACAATTAGTTATTTTACTAGCACACCAATGTTTTGTATTAAATCTTTAGTTAGGTTTTTTACTAACACACCAATGTTTATGTATTAAACCCACACTTAGGTCTTTTACTAGCACACCAATGTTTTGAATCAAACCCACAGTATAACATGGCTTGACACAGGTTTTTAGAGGAACACATTACAGTAAATTTTTTCTTGCAGGTAGAACACATCAGTTAAGAGTACACTGCAACCTGATTGGTCACACTATTATTGGAGACTATACTTATAGTAATGAAAAGGACACAGCACCATATCGTATGATGTTACATGCCTATAGAATGATAGTACCTCTACAGGCGGAACCACTTGATATAATGTCACCGGACCCATTTCTAACAAGTGTAGATCCTAAATGGAAACCACATAAAATTATTACCAATTATGATGAAGTTGTAGAGGAAAACTTAACACTAAAGAATGTTAAAGAAAAGAACATATCTAGTTTAACATATCATACCATGAAAATTTATAATTTTCATTTTGAAAAGAATCCATTAAAAGAGTTTTCGTTTTATTTAAGTATATTTTCATGAATGTCAATTTCAGGATGATTTGCACAAATGCAACTCTGTGTTATGGTATGGATAGGGATAACTGATCTATTGCCATCACTTGACATCAACCCTTTCTTTGCCTTTGTAACTCACTTGACTCACAGTGTCAAATTGAGCTATTCTTATCACTTGGCGTCGGTCGTCATCTATAATCCATTATCTTTTTCAAAAACTCTTCTCTGAAACTACTTAGCCAGAATCATCATTGGGTAATCTTGATAAAAAGTTGTGTATCAGATGATCCCGCCTGCTGACTAACATGGCCCCCATGGCTAAAATTATAGGGGTAAAATGCAAGTTTTGTCTATTAACATATCTTAAAAATTGCTATAGATCAAGAAAATCTGACAGGGGCAGAAATGTTTAAAATGTTGAGATCTGTCTACTGTCAGATGACTTCTTATAGGAGTTATTGCCCTTAAATGATGAATTTTACCAATTTATTGAATTTATGCTCGTCTTACAAACTATAATATTGTTTTATTTAATTATATTTAAGTAGATGGCAATATTTGTATTGGTGGTACAAATGCCACTCTGTGTTATGGTATGGAAAATGTTGTGTATTTGGTAAAAGAATGTATTTTTTGCAATTGAACACGTGTCTGTCCCACATGTCAAGTGATGTTTAGATGCCGTCTCACTGACGTTAGCCTATATCTACTTTTATATTGTAAATTCCATTTGTTAAAAAGTATGGCAGTATGACCTTCTGCATTGGTGGCCTAAGTAGTTCTTCAACAGTATCACTAGGCTGTTCATTTGGAGGTTGTGGGTTTGAACCCTTCAGGTGGCAGGTGCATTCTCACCCAACCTTTATTGCCCCAATATTGCCTGCTTTCCTGCTGAAGGTTAGTGGTTCTCTACACTTCCTCTACCAATAAAACTGCCACCACGATAAAACAAAGAGTGCTGAAAGTGGCCTTAAACACCAACAATCAATTAATTAATCAGCATGACCTTGACATTATAATTCAACAACTTGAAGTTTTGTTGTATAGTGTAGAACTATTGAGAATATAATAACTAGATTTGTGGAACTGTAGCCTACTACATATGTAGAAGGGGTAGCGGTATGTAGAATAATTTTTATGTGTCAAATCTGATTGTTTTCATCACTATATCCCTATTAAGTTAAACAACAATTTATGTGTTGTGATGGGTTATTTTTTTACATTAATGTCTCTTAGGTAGTGCTTTGCAGACTCATCACAGCGTATGATTTTTTTGCCCATGTGGTTGTTCCTTCTGACATGTCATTGATATTGATATTTTTGCCCATGAGGTATTTCTTTGCTGACACATCATTGAGTTTAATATTTTTGCCCCTGTGCTAGTTTTTTGCTAACACATCATTGAGATTGATATGTTTGCCCTGTAGAAGTTCCTTGCTGACACATCATTTAGTTTGATATGTTTACCCATGTGGTAGTTCCTTGCTGACACATCATTGAGTTGACATTTTTTCACATGATGTAGTTCCTTGCTGACACATCATTGAGTTTGATATGTTTGCCCTGTGGTAGTTCTTTGCTGACACATCCTTGAGTTTGATATTTTTGCCAGTGAGGTATTTCCTTGCTGACACATCACTGACTTTGATATTTTTGCCCCTGTAGTAGTTCTTTGCTAACACATCATTGAGTATTGGTATGTTTGCCCCTGTGCTAGTTCCTTGCATAAATATCATTGAGTTTGATATTTTTGTCCCTGTGCTAGTTTCTTGCTGACACATCATTGAGTTTTGGTATGTTTGCCCCTGTGCTAGTTCCTTGCATAAATATCATTGAGTTTGATATGTTTGTCCCTGTGCTAGTTCCTTGCTGACACATCATTGAGTTTTGGTATGTTTGCCTCTGTGCTAGTTCCTTGCATAAATATCATTGAGTTTGATATGTTTGTCCCTGTGCTAGTTCCTTGCTGACACATCATTGAGTTTTGATATTTTTGCCTATGAGGTAGTTTCTTGCTAACACATCATTGAGATTGATATGTTTGCCCCTGAGGTAGTTCCTTGCTGACGCATTATTGAGATTGACATTTTTGCCCCTGAGGTAGTTCCTTGCTGACACATTATTGACTTTGATATTTTTGCCTCTATAGTAGTTCTTTGCTGACACATCATTGAGATTGATAATTTTGCCTCAGTGGTAGTTCATGCTCTATCATTATTGAGTTTGATATGTTTGCACTTCTGGTAGTTCCTTGCTAACACATCTTTGAGATTGATATTTTTGCCCATGAGGTAGTTCCTTGCTGACTCATTATTGAGTTTGATATGTTTGCACCTCTGGTAGTTCCTTGCTAACACATCTTTGAGATTGATATTTTTGCCCATGAGGTAATTCCTTGCTGACACATCATTGAGTTTGATATTTTTGCCAGTGAGGTAGTTCCTTGCTGACACATCCTTGAGTTTGATATTTTTGCCAGTGAGGTAGTTCCTTGCTGACACATCATTGAGTTTGATATGTTTGCCCATGTGGTAGTTCTTTGTGGGGACACATCATTGAGTTTGATATTTTTGCCCCTGTAGTAGTTCTTTGCTGACACATCATTGAGTACGATATGTTTTCCCCTGTAGTATTTCTATGTTGTCACATCATTTAGATTGACATTTTTGCACATGAAGTAGTTCCTTGCTGACACATCATTGATTTTAATATGTTTGCCCCTGTGGTAGTTCTTTGCTGTCACAATATTTAGTTTGATATATTTGCCCTTGAGGTAGTTCCTTGCTGACACATTGAGTTTGATATACCGGTATTTGCCCATGAGGTAGTTTCTAGCTGACACATCATTAAGTTTGATATTTTGGCCCCTGTGCTAGTTCTTCTTTGCTAACACATCATTGAGATTGGTATTTTTGCTCCTGAGGTATTCCTTGCTGACACTTCATTTAGTTTGATATTTTGACATTTTTGCTCATGTATTAGTTAATTGATTCATCCTTGAAATTGGTATATTGCTCATCTGACAGGTATGACCAGAAAGCTATTGCCATCATTTTTCGTGAACCCTTATTTCACAATTAAAGCACCTCATTTGTATAGCACTGGATTCAATTTCAAACTTGACAAATGTTATTTTTGTAAAACTTCCATAAATTATTATTCCGATCAGGTGAAAATATAAGATTAGCCTTGATTTTATAAACTGATCCATTTTTAATTTTTACTTCACAAAGACTCGAAATATTTTTTCAAACTTTTTACTTTTAATATTCAGTACCTCAAAAAAAACAAGCATTCTGTGAGTATTGCATGGCAATACATAGTCCCCTACCGGTTAAAAATTCATTGTAATGGAACTAAATTACAACTTGATCTATAACTTGTCATGGTGTAAACTACATAAAAATATCAAGTCAAAATCTTCAAGCATGATGAAAAAAACTGTTGAAAACTGATTAATTAAGTAAATTTTCTATGTCCAAAGACCATAACTCTGCACAAAATCATCAGACCGGAACAAAATTCCAACTTGATCTGTAACTTGTCATGATAAAACTATATACTTATTATCAAATCAATATCTTCAAGAATGACAAACAAACCTACCACTAAATTCTTCAAACAATTTACCAAAGAAAAGGAAAAAAAATCCAAAATGTCATTTTGCCTTCCGTTTAAAAAAAGAGTTATTTCCCTTTGAACAGAAAACTACTTATTAATAAGTATTTCATCAAAAATTTAATTCTAGGGAAAGGGCTTTTACTGAACAAAGAGAAAAGCTAAAATCATGAAAACTGAACTTGACCTGTAACTTGTCATGATAAAACAATAAACCAGATATCAAATCAATATCTTCAAGCACGAAGAAAAAGTCTGGAAAACTGATTTGCCGGACTGACAGATGGACAGACAGACGGACAGACAGACAGAGTGCAAACCTAAAGTCCCCTTCGACTTCGTCGGTAGGGGACTAAAAATCCTCATGTCATGCTGATTTTGGTGGCATACAAGCAGCTATAGTTTCACATAGGTACCAATTCAACAATAAAGATGTCACATTTTTATACGACTGCAAAAATTAAAAATTTTTTGGTCGTATATTGGTATGACGTTGGCGTCGTCGTCGTCCGAAGACTCATTGGTTTTCGCACTCTAACTTTAGTTTAAGTGAATGGATCTCCATGAAATTTTACCATAAGGTTCAATACCACGAAAGGAAGGTTGGGATTGATTTTGGGGGTTATAGTACCAACAGTTAATGAATTAGGGGCCAAAAATAAGCATTTTTGTAACTTCCAGACAATAACTTGTGTGTAAGTGTATGGATCTCTCTGACATTGTACCACAAGGTTCCATATCACAAAGGGAAGGCTGTAATTGATTTTGGGGTAATTGCCTCAAAATGTTAGGAATAAGGGGCCAAAAAAGGGGCAAAAAACAAGCATTTTTCTAGTTTCATGACAATAACTTGTGTGTAAGTGTTTGGATATTTCTGAAATTGTACTACAAGGTTCCATATCACAAAGGGAAAGCTGGAATTGAGTTTGAGGGTAATTGCCCGAAACGTTTAGGAATTGGGGGCCAAAAAGGGGCCAAAAATAAGCATTTTTCTAGTTTCCAGACAATAACTTGTGTTCAAGTGTATGGATCTCTCTGAAATTGTACTGCAAGGTACCATACCACAAAGGGAAGGCTGAGATTGAGTTTGGGGGTGATGAATCATAAGGGGGTTCAAAAAATTTTGGGGGGGGATTTTTTTTTTTCTTTTTTTCCTTTTTTTTTTCTTTTAAAATTTAAAATTTTAAGTTGGTTATTTCTGATTTATATTTAAAAGCAAATAATAATGATATGGTAGGAGATATACACCAAACAGGATGTGTAAATTATTATATAATAAGTATTGTGCAATAGCAAGAAATTTTCAATTGCACAGTATTGCACAATAGCAAGAAATCTTCAATTGCACAGTATTGCGCAATAGCAAGAAATCTTCAATTGCACAGTATTGCACAATAGCAAGAAATATCCAATAGC